AGTCCTTAATTACAGTTTATAGCTGGTGGGTGGTTACAACTATGTTGTTTGCAGCCGGTGGAACAGAACTAAGAGCTAGAGACAGCATAGTGAGGATAAATGTGCTCGGAAAGTTTATAAGCACTAAAACATAAATGCTGTGCAAAACAGTTAAGTAAGAAAAAAAGAAAACAGCATATCCAGGTTACCTGGGGACCAGAATATGTTCATATTAGGCCCACTATAAGAAAATACATCCTTCTTTTCCTCTAGTCTCTGATGCTGCTTCTCTTCCTTCATCGCAATCAGCTCCTTTGTTGACTCTAGCATGCTGACTGTCACTGCCGCCTTTTGTCGGTTTCAGTAACACTAATGACTGGCTGACTGGCTCTCTATAAGGAAGCACTTCATTACTGCATGGCACAGCAAGCAAGTGGAGCAAGGCTGCGAGCGCCGTGTCTATGTTGCGCACATGGACGTGTGAGGTTTGATCATCCTGAAATCAAAACAGCCCCAGCCGTCTGCCTCTTCCCGTGTTTTAGGTGCATGCTTATTTATGTGTCCATGGTACATGCACAGACTCACTACACAGACTGAAGTAAGGGTCCAGAAAATGAACATTTTTTATGAAAGAAATGCACAATATATCTGGTCTGAGTCCAGACTGATACTAACAGTTTGATTAACACTCTTTAAGCCACTTTGAGCCATACTAACTTTGCGTATGGTTAAAAACGATGTTAAAGACACACATTTTTCTCACTGCCTAATATTAAATCTGATTAAATGTCTCCAGCTTAGTTGATTAATTCTATCCCTTCTTGCTTAAATTTGGTACAATTAGAGAGATATTTCAACTTCAAAATCAGAGGGTTGCAAACTCTCAAGATATTGGCAAGGTGTGCAAACTTAGCCATGTACATTTTTGTCTGTTTTGTGAACACCTCACATACGGGGTGAAGCTTTCCCTTTTCCCTCCATTTTCACAGTGGTGATTAAGGCTGCACCCTTCAAACTGTTTCCTCAGACCTTAGCAAATGGTTTAAAAAGCTGGTCTTTGTCCCAGAGTAAATGTGGATCCTGTAATTTGGCTTTTACTCTGTTTTTTTTTTTTTTTTTTTTTTT